TTATCCAGTAGATGGGGCATCGACCTCATGACAATCTTCATCCACTAACTACCTCACAGCACAGCAGAGTGACAGATCTGAAGCAGGCAGCTCAGGGACGCTGGGTAGTTGAAAACGCTTTTCTGGTCCGAGTTTGATCAGTCGGTCTTCCTGTCGGCGTGAATAGCAGTAGCCTACAGTATACAGTATATATGTATTTTTTATAACTTAATAAAATATTTTTAAAATCGGCTGATTTATCGGTAATCAGATCCCCCTAATAATCGGCATCGGCCCAATAAATCCATATCGACCGGGCCCTAGTAAGTTCCATCGGTGGATCAAAGAGGTGGTCGAAATCAGGAAGCAGGCCCCAAAGACTGTAAACCGGGTGTGTGGAAGCCTACCAGCTTTCACACACCTTGGACACAGTCCTGCAGGGCTGCCCATGGCTGTCCGGCAGGCCACCAGATGGCGGAGGATGCCCCGCCTCGTCTCTGGCCCATGCTGGGGGACACCACCATCCCACCATCTCAGGTGGGATGGCAAAATCCATATAACTGATCATAGACAACGTCACACCAACATCACGTGACACCTCCGATGAAGGCTGCAGAGGCAAAGTAGCCAAAACTTGTCTAGTACAAAATGTTTATTTTTTTAACCTTTCTGGCCTTCATAGATGAACCGTCTTATTAATACATCTGATGCATCTGATGCTCGCAGAGATCACTTCAGACAGCCAAACCGATGCAGAGCCTCAGTCAACTTGACAAAACTTCCAAACATCATGTGACTCTGATCGTCTCCATCACAGCGTCGAATTCAAAGAAGCGTCTGTCTTCCTCCCTCTCCTCTTTAGATCGTAACGCGCTTCAAAGAAACCCTGTCAGCTCCTCTATTTCCTGTCGTGTCACAGAGGCTCGCCTTCATCCCAACAGTTAAGGCAGGTATTGGTAATGCATGAGAGGCCTGCAGACAGGGTGGCAGACACCAGGGTGATCTAATTAGCACTCATATTGGATTAGTCTGACTTGGAAGGAGGAGAAGAGACGAGACAAGCCTCCTCCGGGGCCCCCAAACATCCTCTTGGATCACAGATTAGAGAGTGGCCTTTGGGGGGATATTCAAGATTAAGCGACCACTTTCATCCTCTGGAGGGGAGTAAGATGTGTGGCAATTGGAGGAGGAAAAGGGAGGATAGCGTTGTGTCCATTCAGTTCAAATTAATTCAGATTTATTCTGTGATATCGTTTATGAATCATATTTAAAATATATGTTTTCCACCCTCACCATGAAGAAACCTAGAGGGGTTAAAAACTTGAACCAATAATCTTTGAAAAGAGTCTGGCCATGACTTCGTAGTGCTACCTATGTGAGATGTTTATGTAATGAAAATAAAAGAAGGAGTAAAAATGTCACTAATGTGATTTCTGTGGACTTAAGCTACAATTTGTGTTGATATTAGTACCCCCTTGTGGACTAGGATGTACAGTTTATTTAATCCTGCTGTCTTTTAACAGTCAATTGTGTATGGTTGCTGTTGAAAATGTTAGGAAAGGCTGCTTTCTAACTAAGCTATCAGTCCTTGGCCTGACACCTACCCTGAGAGAACGCTCTAAGCATTAAAACCACATCACAGAAGTTTCCAGTGCTACTGTTGTTGGTCTTGTTCGCCTTTAATGGTCTTAAAGAGGTATCTCAGTCAAAACCCCCTAACAGGGGCTTTAATCCTCATGCAAGTCCAAGTCTGGAGCAGGTTTATTTGAAACTCTAGGCTGATACCTAGTGGTTAATACAGGACACTGCAACAGGGAATATAAGAGGTCTGCAAATTAGGAATCTATGTGCATTGGTTCTGTATTGAACAATGACAACCATCTTAATTGTGTCCCAGCATGACTATTAAATAAATGCTAGATATTTTAAGAGAAAATAGGCTGTTTGTACCTTAAAAACTGTCAAACTCTATTACACATAATTCAATTTGAGTAGTTCGTTTTTAAACCTCAATATTTTAATGTAAAAAAAGACTATCTGTTTAAAAGTGGTATATTTTAGAGTACACAACCCTCATTTCTTTCTATAAATACAATTAAAGTGTTAAATATGTGTTTGGATTATTTGTGATGTTTAAATTCAGCTGGGCTACTATGTGTTGTGCTGATTTATCATGCTGAAAACTGACAAGCACAGACATCATTCAGACCTGAAAAAACATAAGTAACACGTCAGAGACAGACAGAGAGGACGTAAAAGACCTAAAGAAAAAGAAGAATGTATTTTAACTCACATTTTTGATTTTTCAGTTGCTTTAAAGAGTCCAGATAACGCTGGTGTACTACTGCGACATCCCTTGCTAGCTTAAACGCAAAATAGCATTATTAGTAACGCTTTTTGGCGCCAACTTTTCCTTTGGTTTTAACTTCAGCAAGGGTGCAGTACCACGTTTGACCACATACAGTCGCTGATATCTATGGGCTGTTATAACTCAGAGGGGCGCTGTTTCACATGTTTTCGAAGGCAAAAACAAAACGAGTGTCTAAGGGAGTTGTACACTGAAAACTACAGTTTTTCCGAAATTTTAAAGTTAATTTTTCTAATTCTCATTTTATCGAAATACTGTTTAAATCATTTGATTATTTTAAGTCATGTTTGTTAACCTTTTTTGGGGTCACAAATTGAGCACAGTGATGAATTAGGCTGTTTCATTTTAGTCAAATGTTGTTTAAGTGGAACAGGTTAAAAAAATTAGAATTGGCAGGACAAAATGTTTTATTTTAACATGAATACATCAGTAACACTTATTTTTGTAATAGTTGGAGTATCATCACAATGGCACAATAATACTTATAATTTCTAAAAGTTATTACTTATCTAAAAGTATTGGAATGTCAGCTTTCATTGAAAACTTAGACAAACTTCCTACTCTTGAGACAAACTGATTTATGAGGGTGCAACTTTGACAGCCTACCACCAGATGGTGCCAACTGATCATTTTTCTTGTACTGCAGCAGGCTCTCTGAGCTTTTCACTTTATTTTACAACAAGAATGAAAAAGATTTATACCTTATATATGATTGCTTATTCATTATTTATACCCTGCTGTTCAGTTTGTCACATTTTATCTGTTTATGTAAGGACAGTGTGGTCAAAAAGAGCTGCCTGCGCTGTATGTGGTCCAGATTAAATGACCGTGATGTTTTTATTGGAGCTATGAATTATCAAGCATTGAATTCCCCCTCAGGGGTAAATAAACAAAGTTCTTCTTATCTTATGAAATATGTCTGTCTCAGTTTGTCGATAGTTTTGTTCTTTTTGTTTTCTTCTTTAAATGGGTAGTGCTGCTGTTATATTGTTCAGCTTGAACATCTTGTCCTTGAGTATTAAACGAATGAAAGTATTTTATATTTGCTTTTGGTTTTTTCCAGCACCAGAGGAAACCCTGAGGGCGACATTTATGATTAAGAATCATGTCTTGAAGCCAAATCCAAATGAATCGTGGCTTATCTATTATTATTGATAAAAACTGCGACAGTCACATTAGGAGGGAAATGTTTGAGTTTGCGGCTAATCAACATATCTGTGTAACCTTACAGTATAATGATAAATATCTTGACTGCATGGCATATCCTGGTCATTTGAGTGTAATGTTGTTTGGATACTTATTCTATATTTGCTCTGAACATGATAGAAGACTTCTTTAAGACCTTTCCCTTTACTCTGAAATGTACAATCATGGCGTACCTTGTGAACTGCTTGTGATGCAACAGTTCCTGTGTCTCCATGGTAACAAAGCCTAATGTAAGTTAATGTTTGGACATGGATGGAAATTTAAGTACTGATTGATGTTATCTTTTAATAATATCGGGGTAAATGTGACTCCGCTGGTCACTTAGTCAGAAACAAGACGCCTCATGATGCTGGAATAAGAAAGTCTGTGCTCTTGTTGTGGTTTTTATAATGAGGAGAAAATGATTCTCTTATTCAGTTTCTGGGATAAATATAACCAACTTTATCATCTTCTCACACTCCTTACTCTATCCTCCCAGGGCATCACCACCACCACCAATCGCTATAATATAAGAACTAAAGAGGAATTCGGGAGGTTTTGATGGCGGCTGGATAACTCAGCTAGGTCCTACACTGGCCACACATGGAAAAAGTGGGTTCTGTAATTGCTTGAAACTAATAAAAGTAATATTTGATCAATTTTTTTCCTTTTATAACCCTGCTTTGTGTTTGGGTCTTGTCTCATGATTCTACTTTGCACAACCACCCACTTACTATACAAAACCCCTGACGAATTAGACAGATATTTCCTCTGAATGTGGATCAGATCTGGACTATTTTGTCTGAAAACACGACACTAGCACCCTGATTTATTATCTAAATCTGTCATGTTCTCCCTTTACATTTTACACGTCAAAAGACCTGTTTAAGAAACCACTCAGTTCAGTCAAGTACTGACATGACTCTGCAGTTAAAAATACAGGTTTAACCATCACAAACATGATCTGTTTGAAGTCTAGGTGTTCCACAGGGCACATATCTCGATCCTCTTAAATTGCTGCTGCATAATAAGCTTTTTAATTCTTTGTTGTGTTATTGAGCAAACATGGCACCATCTGTATTTGCTCGGTGGTAAAACAAGTTAATGCCTGCACAACCTAAGATCACCATGAGTGTAAATAACCCCCTTATTTTACACATATAGATATAACTCATGACTAAGACTGCTGCTCATGAAACCATGCGACTATCAGTCACCCTCGTTTCTTCCTCTTCCTCGACTCTGCTGGAGAGAGTGCTGTGAAGTGGCAGATGAAATATTAATCTTTCTGAATTAATGATGGAGGACAGCAGGAGGGGGAGAGAGGGGGAGGGGTAATAGAGAAATATTAAACCAAGGCATCATAAAAAGAGGTACAGGTGAGGTAGGGAATGAGCTTTTTTCTTCTTCTCTGTTCAGCTTTTTTCTTTTGTGCTGCACTGAGTTATTAAAGTCTATTTTCTCTTGCGAATTGGACTTGATTTGCTGGTAAAAATCAAATATGACGGAGCTGTATTTGTAAAAGAAACTTGTTTAATAGTGTTTTGAAATTACTTTTGTGATGCATAATATAAGCAGATTAATCGGAGACGATTTAGTCATTGTTTTTGAGGTCTGATTCTGGCTGCAGAGATGTTCATTCCTCGGATTTTCACAGTGAGTCATTTTACTTGACCTAAGAAATAAAGCGATTCTGTGAAACCGGCCCGAGTCCATACTGTCCCCCTGTGGGAAGCGGGCAAGGCAGAGTTCTGGTCATGAGTCAAAGGGGAGACAAAGAGAGACAGAGAGCAGCACCTGAACCCCATTAATCGTCTCCCACAGTGTCCATTCCTCTTGGTTTGTGTCAGCAGGGGCAGCAGAGTGGAAAGAGAGGACACGGTGAGGAGGAGTTTGAGTCCAAGTTTTGACAAGATGAGATTATTACAGCGAGCAGAGCAGATAGAGAAAAATAGAGGAGAGATTTCACACTAAACGGAGCTCCTAATGTATGTAAGCGGCTCAAAGACGTGTCCATAACTTAGGTTGGGGTTTATTTCATTCTTAAGGTAGTTCATGAGTTAAATTGTAGCCTGTAGCTATGAATGATCTCTGTGATATTGTTGCTCATTAAAGTCATTTATACACAGACCCCCACATCTGGGATCTGTCCCGAACAGCCCGAGTCTTGTGCAGTTGACCGCTGAGCAGATGCACTGCAGCAGTAGGGGGTTAAGCACCTTGCTCAAGGGCACCTTGTAGGTAGTTAACACAGGAAAACCAGAAAACAGTCTGCACCTTTACGCCCTTTTACCCAGTTCTTAACATCCGCTGAGATCCTAATTTTCAATGTAAAAGGAAAGTAAATGAAAAACTGACTTAATAAAGAGCTATTACACTCACACTCACCCTTCATTATGTCTGTCTGGGACTCCTGTGGAGTAGCTTTGCATGATTTGAAGCTAAAAAAATCTTTGTTTATTTCATATCGGTGTCTCTGAATACGCTTGTTTCAGCACTTTTCAGCCTCCACCTTTACTTTGAATACTATTACAGCGATATAAAGTTAGGACACAGCTAATGGATGTTACTTATTGTCCTAAAATGACCCAATCTAAAAGGAAACCATTAGGGTTCAAGTCAGCCTCCCTGTTGTTACAGCTTGTGGCTTTGGCCTTCATAGGGGGACTTTCTATATGAACCAGCCCCAGTTTGCAGTAACAGATGAGATCCAAATTCACCTCTGGCCTGCCTTCAACATCTTCAACCAGGAAACACAGACCCTTTTCTTCCTCCTTCATGTGTAGGTAGAGTAACCCCTAATTTCCTACTGCATTAGGAGCGGCTACGAAAAGGCCGTATTCGCCGATCATAACTATTCAAGCTAATGTGTCAATTTTCAATCGTCTTCTTTCCATTCTGCTGCGGATCGCCGAACTCTGCAGCTGATCGAAAGAGTTCTATTTTTTCCGGATGCTGGAGCATGCTGGATAAGTTCAACACAGATTAACCTTAAAGGAAGTCGGACACAGACACAAAATAAAACATCCGAACACTACGTGTTTCAGGCTGATCGTATTTCACACCATGCAAACAGGCAGGGACGAACAAGTGAAGGTTTATAGACAGCATTTCATCCTGATGACAGCAAGGATGAGAGGATGCTGATGTTATAAGACTAGAAGTAGATTTACTCCTCTGGAAGGACACGTGAATCCACGGGTTCTTGTGAGTTCTCACGATTCCTGCTGTCTGTAATCCGCCACAAAATCCACCTCACAAACAGATCTGTAGGAATTGGCGTACAACGAAAATCAACACTGTTCCGGATTGGAGCCATTTCGTATGCAGTGGAAAGCCCGGGTAACATGGAACTGTTACTAACTGTTAAGCCTCTTCAAGGTGTCATGGGTCTTTTTCGATAGTGCCTCCTTCATAACCCTGGAGTTGCACAGGCTCTTGCTGCCCATATGACCCTTATTATATTTCACAAGTAGGGGGACATGGTCTTGGTTACATCAAAAATCCAGCAGAGTATAAATATTGAAATAAGGGCATGATGAGGTGGACTACTGAGTGATTATCCTTTTTGACCTCATGTTTAGTTTAAATTGAAATATACTCGCTTTTATATGCTGAATAAATGAGCGATTTTCTGTCAATTTTCCGATAATGATAGTAAACACAAAAGGATAATACATGCGCAGTGGTCCAGGTGCAGTGACCATTAGATTATAATAATAGGTAATGGATTCGGGATCGATCCAGAGCGTGTAGGAGGTGGACAATGGGGAAGATTTATGCAGTTCGTTCTGAATGAAGAAAACAGGTTTTCTGACTAGAACAGACCCCGACCCAGCACCTCCTCCTCCTCCTCCTCCTCCTCCCACTCATGTTGGATCAATAAAAACAATAAATGTTGAGGACATAAATCGCACCACGGTGCAGGTGCACCCCCCCTGCAGGTCCTAGCCCTCCCCCTCCTCTTCCCTTGACGCACATACTCCCAAGCGCCTTGCCTTCTGGGTCAGCGCTACAAGGCGGGTCACCAGAAATTGATTTGCTCCGTTCCCCTGCCACATTAATCACCCATTCATCGCCACACACGGTGAAGGCTGACGTCTGGTGGAAATCAATTCATCAACAAAAAAAAAGGACCCTCCGCTGTGGTACACACACTTCTACGTTTGTGTTTGGGTTCTGTTGTTTGGCTGCGTTTTTGAGGCGATTGTTGGACTATAAGCTCACTTACACGTTAACCATCAGGCTGTCAGAGGCGATCATGACAGACGGCGCTGAAAAGGCTGTGGCTGAGAGGCGGGTGTTGTTTTGACAGATGTAGGCAGCGCAGAAGTACTGGAGATGACAGCACTCATCAAAACTCCTACAACAGAGATGCTTCACAGCCAGGGAGGCTCATGTTGAGATGAAGTGATTAAACGTGAATGAACTTTAAATTCTGCAAGACGTACCTTCGCCGCACATGTATGTTTACGTCGCAGCATTTTGGCCAACAGTGTCAGACAGAGAAGACTTTGTTACAGCTGCTGATGTGATTGTCTTAATCAAATGAACCATGGAGGTAATGCCAATTGACATCTGATGTTTCCTTAATTAGATTAACGAAACAAACTCCCCCATGGTGCACCTAGACTCAGACTGAGGGTTCAAATCTTCGCTGATGAGCTGCTATTAATAGACGTATATAGAGCGCAACATTTTTTCACTATAAACAGAGATTTCAACTTAATCAGAGCAAACTGTTGAGAGAGCTCGTTTTCAAGCTGGGTTGATAGTTTAAATGTAAAATAACTTACATTTAGTAAAAGTCACTCCAAGAACAGCACACCCTGGTGACGGGCTGCAGTATAGGTTATAAACCCCGCCTCCGCCAGCCATCCTTATGGGGTTGTGGACAAACTTTAGAAATTTATTACACAGAATATGAATTTTTCTCCCCCCTGCTTGTGATGTTGACATGTAGTTCTCGACTCTCGGCGACTCTCCTGCCGAATGCGTACAATGCTACTGCGTAATGTTGGTTTCAGGAAATGAAGAAAAATCGTGGAATGAGAGCTTTTCAAATTTGTACACTGGCGGAACCAAGTTGTCCATAGTATATACAGTCTATGGCTTAGTCTCAATGCAACACAGAAATAGCAAAAACCTTAACCAGCATATCCGCATGCTACGAAAAATCTATTCATCCCGTTGGTCCGACTACAATTTGACTTTGAAATACAGGCAAATACATTAGCCAGGACAAGAAGGTCAAATTTCTCTGAACAGACATGCAGACCAGTACAATTACATTTTAGCTAGCTTAACTGGACGTAAAGCAGTCTGAGCATTCAGCACATGCTCCACAATTTGGAGTCTAACCCAGAAATCAAACAGCATCAATACATTGAAGAAAGCCAGGGAGTAAACAAAACCTCAGGAGTAAGGAGGGATATTGTTCGCATAGAAGTTTAAAAATACATGTTTTTGCGGGTCATGAGGAGCTCCCTGCAATGCGGGATATCAGCACCACATTAAAGAGATATTCTGGCATAAATTGAAGTTATAGTCAAACACACCGTAACACCGAGTTAGACACCTCCTTGAGAGATGAATGTTGCTGGCTACTTGCTTTGGAGTTTCGCAGCTTAAGGAAGAACATTCATGATTATTACTTCATGGAAATGATCCAAAATGATCGTCAGGGCTCCCCCACAAACAAGCGGCTGCTGGAGGAGTGTGGGTGAGTTGTGTTTAGTCTCTTTGCTAAAGAATTTAGGCAAAGCTAAAATGATGTTTGATAGCTAGTGCTGTGGCTGGGACCTTATATGTCCTGTTGATGAAGTTAGGTGCTGTTCTGAGTATTATTTGTGGCTATAGAGTGGCGTTTTGGTTGAGGTTTGCACATGGAGATGTAGACCGCTGTGTATTGCTATCATGCGGTCGTTACTAAAGTTGGTATAACTAGAGAAGCAAATGGTCTGCAACATTCATCTCTTGAGGGGGTGTGTAACTTGGTGTTACATAACTTAAATTTATGCCGGAATACCCCTTTAAGTCTTTTTAATAAATAAACTGTCATTTTAAATGAACTTCAGAAAGTCTCAACTAGAAACACACTTACTGCTTTAAATCTGAACTGAACTGGAGTATAGGTTGGAATTTGGAGTTACGTTTCATGTGAGTTCACAGACTTTGTTGGCTTGTTACTGGGAAGTAGAACCACAATTAAACATGCCTGAAAAGTTCACTCAGACAAAGAATAGTTGCAGTGACTCTGAAACACTCCCCAACATTCCCACAGACATGTAGCTGTCACCCCATCAGCTGCCCGTTCAGATTTGGGGAAACAATGGGGTTCTTACCAGGGCTGGGTGTTTTTCTACCCTGAGCTGATTAAATTAGTGGGCGGAGGAGGGGTGAGGGCGGAGGGTGCCAGCATGTGGGAGCCTAAACAGGGCGAACACAAAAGAATTCCTGGTGCCATTCCACCAATGCCGATGTGGTCATTTTAGCAAACCGGCGAGGCGACCGAAGGCATCTGTGCTCTGGGAGGAGACAAAAGGGGCAGACTGTCGGCCCATCTTAACCCCGGACACGCTAGTTAGCCTTAAAGCTCTTTTGAAGGGAGATGGGAAAAAGGTAAAAAAAGAAAGACAGGATAAGGAAAACAGAAGAGGAATTCATTAGGTTTTTTTATAGGAGAGGCTGAGACGGGAAGAGCAAAGCCAACATATATCCAAGGCGACACTTCAGTCAATAGTCTGTTTTATTACTTGATGGGACAAATGAATGTGTAATCTAAAAGAGATCTCCTGCTGTGATAAACCAACATACAATAATCATAATCTCTGCACCCCAGATCGGCTTTTAAGCCTCTGATGGGTCACAGTTTTGGTTTTACTGCACATTTATTGTCAGTTTTCGGCACTCCTAAGGCTCTGATTACTATCTTGTTTAGATCATCTACAGGGAGGGTGTTTCACTCATTTTATTGAGCGATATTGATAACCATGGTTTGGATTTTAATTAATGCTAAAAATTAACATAATCAGTCAGTTGTTGGACAGAGATTCTTTGTGGTTTCAAACAGCTTTGTAGATCTGAAGTATAGCGGCTAACAATCCCTGGAAACAGTCAACGTTGTGTTAGATGGTGGTAAAAATAGTCGCTCTGAAAAGCAAGACTTTCTGTTTCATTTTATAAAGACTTTCTACCTCATTATTACTGCTGCCATGAAATTTTTATCTCATTAATAGGATTCTAATACCTGTAATTAAAGTTTTTATTTCCTAACTCAACTTTAATTTGAATTTTTTGTGTGATTACTTTGACTTTTCTTGCCTTTTTTATCAACTATATGCTTTCAAAATAATGAGTATTTCATTCAAATGCAGAGACGTGTTCATTGTGGTTTTTCCATGTAGTCCAATAAAATCACAGTGGCCAACGGAAGACAATACATAGATGGGACAGCCTTTTCCACACAAGATGAGCTCTAAACCAAACAAATGCCATATTTTATTGGGATAACAATTTTGGTTTGGCCTCTTAACAAAGACCCGTCATCACAACACCTTTATATTTACATATTTAATCCATAGTGGTGTGATATTAGTGGTAGAAGAGTTGGTAACTATCTAACCTTGTGTTACAGGGCGTAAAAATGAGCCAAACATGCACACAGCAGCTTCATCCTGCTGGTTTTGATGGTTGCAGTAACACAACTACTCTTTGACTAGCAACTTCTTTTGACTAATTGACTTCGCCTGACATTAAACGTCGTGACAATCTGTTCGAAAAAACTGATTTATTACTTTGCCGATCAAATTGGAGGAGAAACTTTGTGAAAGTTTAGAAATTAGTTGAAACCTCCCCAGTGAGTTGTCAAGAAAATCACCAAACAGCTGTTAGAAAAAATGAAGGCATGTTAGAAATTCAGCAGCCTGTTCGCGCCAAACGTGAAGTCCGTAAAAACACACTCTGATGAACATCCAGACTCACAAATGCCAGCACACACACGACAGACTGGACACACTTGAGGAGGCGAGGGGGGGGACGGTGCGAGTCCTAACAGCTGTCCTTTTTAAGAGGAACCACAATGAAGGAGCTCTGCAGGAGGGGAGACAGCACCTGCCTGTCCCCCTCCCTCCCTCCCAATCCTCCTCCATCCTCCTCCATCCTCCATCCTCACTCACAGGACACGACTGGCGAGGAGAGGGAAGGCGTGCGTGCCTCCAGTCGGGAGCCGTCTATTCAGCCCATTCAGCTGCCTCATCTGCATACTGTTTGACTTGCTGCTTCTAATTTGGGCGCCTTCCCCTTTGAAGGCAGATGTATGTAAACAATGTCTCTTTTCATCTCGACCAGGATCAGAAGATGACGGATTCTGGGTCATTAACCCCGGGAGGATTGACGGCTAACAAAGGCAGACCTGCAGTGGGTCTGAAACTCGGCCTAGCATCGTCCACAACAGTTAAAACTAGCAGATCAGAAGATGTAGAGATATGCAGGACAGCAAACAGACTGATTCGACCAATTACAGGCTCCAGAAGATGATGATTTCTGGGATTTTATTATTATTCTTTAATCTAGGTTTAACCCTCGAGGTTAAAACTTGACTTAAATGAGCTGAGATGAAGGTTAACTCAAGGACATCAGCTCAGATACTATCAAGATGCTTAAAAAACCAATTTTGCTTGATTTAAAGGAAACTCAGAATGAAATACTCAAAACAGGATGCTCAAATTAGTCTAAAACTGCTTCATACTGTCGTCACTTCGATAACATGAGTCTTCAGATTATCTATTCTAGGGTGACCATATTCTGACTAAGTTAATTTTGAGAGTTTTCCGGGTTGGATAGAGTGTTTTTTACGCGATTCTAACTCAGTAAGTCCATGCGATTCAAACTCAAAACTTCCATACAAAACCTTGGACATTTAAAGGGTTTCATAAACTCCCCTAGACAAGGCCAGACAGGCCAGAGAGCCCCCCATAAAGAGGACATGTCCGGGTAAAGGAGGACGTATGGTCACCCTAATCTGAGTTGAACCACCATGCCACACCAATATGTGAAATTTAATTGAAATCTCCAGTAATCTTCTCATGAAGTGTATCATCTCTTCTTTTTCAAAGTTTTTCAAAACTGTAGTGGATAACGGTGCCGAGTCAAATATAGAGGTTGAATCTGAAAAAAGTTAAATAATTGGGGTTTTAGCGATTAAATGACAGAATTAAATTCCCTGTATTCACATCACAGTCATCCAAAAAGCAAGAGTTGAATTGTGACCCACAACTACAACACCAAAGGGATGAAAGTAGTAGAGACACAGTGATAGTCCCCAACAAAATGATGCACTCAAGCACTGAGGAAGAGTCGTGATGCCAATTTTAATACAGTAGTTATGTTTGAACTGTCAAAAAGTCAAGAAATTTGAAGTTTTTAGTCTGAATTAGGAAGGACAGCTGAGGAAAAACAGGGAACCAGGGGAGGAGAGAGTCAAAGCAGGAAATCAAACCACAAGTACTAAAGTCTCTGAACATGGGGGCGCTTAGACTGCTAGGCCACTGGCGCTCTGGCTAATTTCTTTCTTTTGATACTTTGGGTCGCAGTCTGGCTGCCCCAGTCCAAAAAGTCTAATCCCACCACTGTCCCAGAGTGTCAAGTCTCAGGACGGTGTCACAGAAAGACTGTCCTAATAGTGTTAGTCTAAAAGAGACAAGGTCGAACAAGAGCGGCAAAACAAGCTGTCAGAAAGAAAGACGCGATTCAATTTCTCTCAAGGTAAGACGATATAGTGTGAGAACAAGAGAAGCCGTCTTTCTATGAGGTGCAACATTTATGATTCTGAGCCACAGCAGTGTGCGCAGTGATTGTTCGGTTTCTAGTGGTGAAGATTGCTTTCCCTACGGCAATCCCACAAGATTAAAGTTCAGAGTTCAACCATGATTACACCACCGCAGGCGCACACACTCACACACTCATATCCATCTCACCATCACTTGTGCCCTGACCCTTCGTATCCCCCCGTAGCGATGCGCTGCATATTTATAGGCAACACGTGTACGTGGGTATTTCTGATGTAGTATTCATGAGTACTCTTCAGCGTGAGATGAGCACCTCTTAACACATGTGAGTATGTGCGAGAGGGATACATGCAGAGGATGATGGGAAAGAAGGAAAGAAACATGCATACTTTGTGTATTAAAGGGATAACCTTTAAGGGATATAACGACCATCTGCGACATCATAACCACCAAGTTAATATTTACATCAATACTCAAACCTGTAGGAAGTCTTCAGTCCCGACAGAAAGGTTCTAGATCTAGAGCAGGTTTGGGTGACACAAAGGATGTGAAAGGGTTTTAGCAATGGCCGGGTAATGACAGCAGGACGACTGGCTCGCCTGTAAAACTGCAGCTCTTGTGAGGCGTCCTCGAACCAAAGGAATCGCAAGAACTCACAAGAGTGCAATCGCAATAACGGTATCTCATTATCTCCTCATCCATGGTGTCATCAGGGTGAAATGGTGTCTTTGCATGGTGCAGCGATCTGCATTGGAATGGAAGGAAGCTGGTGGAAATTGACACTTTGACTTGAATGATTAAGATCAGCTACGATCGTAGGATACAGACTTTTTGTAGTTGTTCTGGATGTGGGGGAAATTGGGGGTAAAGAAAGTCCCACTAGCATTAATCGTCATGTTTCGGGATATTTGATGATATTCAACCAAATCAAAGCTCCTCTACTACAAAGATGACTCACTTCTGGAGTATTTTCAGGACTTTTTATAGTGCATGATAAAAAATTCAAGGATTCGTGACCTTAATCCTGTCTGGAGATCCAACAAATCCTTTTAAAGCTCTTACATAACTTTGATCACCACAGCCTCTCTCTCTTATCTGTCCCTTAGCTTTTCAGACACTCACGGATACACACACCTGCCTCCTCCTTTTCCCCTCTCTGCTCTCAGCGGTCTAACTTTGAGCTGAGCTGGAGCAACACATCGATCGGAGCTGCTTATGAAGAAGTGAAAGTGAGGGATATTTGAGGGGAGGGGCTGCACCCACGCTCTGCTATCATGAGCCGCTATAATTGTCCCAACTTCTCACCGCCGGTTAATGAGACAGAGATGGTTTCATCATCTTAGTTAAAGTATGTTAGCATAAAAAAGTGCTAATTATGTTGAAAACAGACAAAAATTAGCATTTTATTGTACACTTCACTGAAATTTAAGCAATTAGACTTAGCTTTGGTTTTAGTTTGACTGGACTGAACTGAATGATAATGAGCGGTGTGCGTATTGAAACTGAAAATCGCCGCTTTCAACTCGTCCCTCTATTATCAAAACAGAATAGTTTAACCTTCAGCCGGAGTTCTGCTGAAAGCCACTGACCCAGACAGAGAGCAGAGCAAAAGCACAACATGTCCTTGCAGCTTTAGGTGTGGTTTGCTTTTGTGCGTCAGCGGGGTTAGTTGGGGTCAGGGGGAGGGAGGCGAAAGTGTGTTTGCAGGGGTGTGTGTGTGTGTGTTGGGGTCGAGGGGGTAACACACACAAACACACACAAACACAAACACACATATTCACCACCTCCGACTAACAGACATCTGCAGCCTGAACCCTCTTCATAGCGAGGTCATCTGGTGTGTGTGCGTGCGTGCGTGCGCATGCGAGGGTGTGTAGGCATGTTGAAAAAGCTCTGTTTGTGTGTGTGTGTGTATTCCAAGCGTGGCAGCATGAGCACAGCCTGAGGGGGCGTTTCCTGGATTTATGACCAATTGTGAGAAACACAACAGCTCACTTAACGCCCCGTTACCAAACTCGCACATTAACGCAAACGTATGACTCAAAAAAATAACACAATCCTACCCAGCATGCCTGAAAACGTCTGAATCGCTGTTATCTCTGAGATGGATCAAATGTTCCACTGAGTCATCACGGAGCGTGTGCAGACGGGACAGATTCTGGTTTTTGATAATCAATCTGTTAATCGTGCACAAAGTCGAGACCGATGAGGTGTTGAAGCTGAAAAGCAGATCACCTGGGTCTAGAGAGGAAACCCAAAGGACACCTGGTCCCCTCATGTGACCAGAAAAATTCCTCTTTGATACCTGATTGACCCTGAAGAAAGAAATAAAGAAGAGTTTGAGGAGAGTACATAAAGTTTGTAACAATGGAAGAAAAAGAGGCTCTGGTTAGGGATGGGAACTGATACGATTTTATCGATATTGATGCCATTATTGATTCTGCTCATCGATTCAATCCTTTAACAACTCCCTTATCAATGTCTTTCTTCGATTAAAAAAAAAAAGTAGACAATGTTTTTTATGTGCTTCTAACTCAGTTAAAGTCATATTCTGAACTCCAAAAGACAGTGCAAGCGTGCGTCACGTCAGTGGCGTTGCTTAAAAGTGAGCAGAGGGGCAGAGCTGCAGAGAGCACTGATGCTCTGCACTGTTTTATAATGAACGAATACACGTTCCAGACATTTGAAGGATCTTATAAACTCCTCCTGGCCCAAAAGAGGACATGTCAGGGTAAAAGAGGACGTATGGTCACCCTATCATATGTACCTCAATGCTGTGCTGAGACGGGGCAGCAGCGGCTGACGACCGGCAAAGCGCATTGAATACATGTGACTCCTTAAATTTGATGCCCTGCCCCGTCGACAAATGTTTAAGCATGTTGCTGGTGTTTCCACCTTTGCATGTTATCACTGCTCCACATACATTGCACTGTTGTCGTCTTTCTTGGTAAAATTAAGCCGCGCTTTAGCTCGTTTCTGCCTACTATTTGTATCATCCGCCATTTTCTTCTCTGTCTCTGTTCCCGTTCACGTAGACCGGCACTTGCAACGCTGTGTTCCAGCTACTGGGAGAAAGGAATCATTCAGATAAAATGTAAATGATGTTGATGGATTGAACCATTTGGAACTGGTTCTCAACAAGAACCGGTTCTCGATTCCCATCCCTAGTGCTGGTGAACATGATCTAGATCCTGCTTCTCATGAGACTTGCGCTTTTTGTCAAAACGTGACTCAGGGATTAATTCAAAGACCTTTTTTGAAGTTTAATGTGAAATTCATGAACCCGAAGAAGGACCAACTGGAGTTCAGCACACAGGCACGGACACACACCGCTGTTCATCTGAGGTCCAGAGAGATCAGAGCTCCTTCTGAGCTCCCGCTTAAAGATTCATTCCCGTTTCATATTTCACACATTTTGCATACTTACATCAGTTAACTGGCGTCTGCAGAATCACAGATGGCGAGTCGGTGATATTAAAGCCGAAAGTTTGAAAATCCTTGAAGTCATCATCATGATTTCACATACTTCCCCAGACTTTCCAGACCTGCCTGTGAACCCCGGCGAGGATAAAGCTGTGGCGCGTTGTGCCTGTCTTGTTTCCTCAGCGGCTGCTTTATGCGTCAGTTTGATTTTCTCTATTGTGATGCTCTGATAAGAGAGGCGTGGGAGGCGAGTGTCTTCTCCCTGAAATGTCCCAGTTCTTCCTCGCTCATCACAAACCGTAGCCATTTATTAGACGCGTTTACCCAGAGAACCTTCTGTTGGGGGTAAAAAATCGAATAAGATCTGATTCCCAAATCTTTAAAGCGTGCTTATAGCTATTTTAAGGTTAGAACGACACTTAAACACTTAATTATTTGACAGAAACACGACCAGAAACTCTCACACACTCAGGCCAGGCTGACTAGGGTTGGTAATCTGATTTAGATACACATTTTGTTATTCTGGTAATCTTTATGTTCCGATGGCAATCAATGCGTGATTTGTTCTTAAAAAAGAGTGGGGCATAGCCGCTATCTCCAGCAGGAGTAAAACTGGGAAAACACCAACCAATAACATCTTTTGGTTGGTGTCCCGTGCTCGTCTCCTGCGCGTACATGTAGCCGGCGTGCACTAGCCCTGACTCAAGAGAGAAACTACCTGTACCCAGATTAATGGTGACCGCTCCTCCTGCAAAGAAGAGCAAATAAAGGATGATGGAGGCAGAGAATGACGAAGCAAGACAGACCTGGAAGAGGTCAAGGGCTTAAGACATGATGCCATGGTCGCTCATTTTCTGTTGGAAAGGTACGTTGAGGGTTTGTTTCAGGGCGACTTTTAATCTTAATCAAGTATTTAGCCATGTTGCTAGTTATGCTAATGTTACTTTCTTCATCCCTGCTGTGCAAACACTTCCCAATCTAAAGTCCCAAAGTTTTGAGTCCGTGGTTTTGAATCAGCAGACAGCAGCGCTCGTGCATGTGAGCGGGGGCGTTGTTTTGGAGGAGCTCCAAGGGGAGGGGGGAGTGGCTAAACGAAGTCCTGAGGAGATGCTACATTAATATTCATGCTAGTTTGTTGTGATTACCAACCCTCTCTTTAAAGGTATGGTTGATGATTGGAGAGATTGGTAATTATTATGAACCTCGTTTCTATGGCGATCATGGTCCTATAGTGCGATCTCCACGAAGTGAAGAGAAAAAAGAATGGAACAAAATCTGTTCACCCTTGCAGGTGCAGGGCTACAAAAACATTGACCAATGGGAGCCATCCGTCCTGGACAGCTCGTATTGGTAAATCGCCTGCTCCGCCTCTCCATCCAATCACCTCGCTGTATTTGGCACACCCCTCTCCAGTAGTTCCGACTTGTCCCCTCCTACTCTCCCGGCGCTCCTCGGAGGTCTGAGCGGCTCATTGTAGCGTAGCAGCCTCAACGACTTTTTTTTTTTTTTTTTCAACTGCTTCTCAGATCGTCAACCATAACTTTCAGGCAGGTTCTGGCCTTATGTTTGAGTCACATGACCCATTTCATAGTCAAGGATTTTGGCCTCATTGTGCGCCACTTGTCATGAAGGCACTAGGCCGGATTGCCACAAGAAGTACTAAAACTCGCTTCCACATTTTCAGGTCTTGTTGACATGGCCAGGAAGAGGTTAACTCTGCTTTTTATTTATATCATAACCTCCCTGAGAGTTTTCTACCAGCTGAGCAGAAGCAGGTACACCCTCAGCTGGTTCCTCTCGGTGTGTTTGTGAGGCCTTGGAGTCGTCCTGGAGATAATTCATGACAGTTGAACCGATTCAGACTCTGACCTATTTCCGGTTATATGCTAGAGAATAAAACATTTCCCCAGATTGACACAGTGTCCTGTGATTTTATTAGGACTGCGAGTTGAGTGTGGAAAAAAACACAGAAATGGATGTGTTTTCAATATCCCTCAGCCTTTTGGGGCTCCGCTTCTCCAATTCCACTTTAGGTCGACATGCATTATTAAGAGCCGCATCTCTGAGAAAGTACCGGCGCTGTGTCGGATGGATATACCCTGACGGCAAATAGGATGTGAGTGAGAACTGGGTCAGAACGACTCGGTATAATATGACTCAGCATTATCGTTTTCCCCTCAGTCCTTTCCCCCCCTCGCTAAGCTTCCTCTCGCACACAAACACACACTCTGCATTAAAACTTCTAAAGCTTCGCCGTTTCGTACACTCAGACTCTTAGCATGTATCGGCCTCACTGTGACCCTCCTGCTGCATGCTAATTGAGCCGCAGTTGAAGGCACCGGTGCTTTAAATTCAGCCTCTGTATAGTTAAATTTCTTGATATTAAAGTGTGTTTTTCTTGGCGTATGCAGCAAAATTGGACGCCGATTATGAAGATAATAAAAGGGAATTGAAATATTTACAAACCAGGTTGTTTGGTACACTTCTCCTGCTTTCTGTTCCCATTTTGGACTTTTTTAGGGGCCACTATTTGCACTCCAGGCTGTATAACAAGCTGTGTTGCACTCCTAACCTACATGAGCCAGAAATAGAGTTCAGTGTGGCTGCTGTTTGGGTGAAATCTCTGACGAGATGATAAATGTCTGCTGGATGGGATAATAAATGTCTCCATACTTGTTTTTTTTTTTCCCCAAGAGAACATCTTGCACCCACATCCTTCCATTAAAAAAAAGCACCAACTCCTCGCCTCTTACGGAGCAAGTACAGCCATCACCATTTTTTTTATCCTAGCAACAAGACCGAAGCATGTAATTTCGCTGTGTCTTTTTACGGCTGCAATCTTTTGTTGTTTGTGCTCTTAACAGGTTAAAAACAGCGGGAGCAGAAAGGTGCAGCACTTTTACCCTTTCATTTATAAGAACACTGTGCTCCAAAACAGACAAATGCCATGTAAACAGCAGAACTTATAATAAGAGATAATTACAGTCATTTTATTCGCGGGCACTTTTTTAAACAAGAGGTGTGAAGTGTTTTCTGGTGGAACGACAGGGAAGAAACAACCACAAATCTAGATGTTCAAATGGACACACGTGTTCAGCTGACCTGCTGGCTTGTACACTTCAGTACACTTCAAGTTTTGAAGCACTAATTCCTGCTTGTAAGACGAATACGTCTCTATGCTTTTGAGCTAGCCTGGCCGGGCCATCCTGTTGCATGAATCACTTGACATTCCTTCCCACCACAGTCTGGACTTCGGCCCATAGAGAGCGTGTATTCCCGATCAGAAAATAACCGGGCCAATCAGAGACCGTGTTTCCACTGTTACCCGGACAACATAGAAAGGCAGCCCCTGATTGGTCCATGTGTAGTGGTGACGTCTAACACATGCTGCGAGACTTTTGCGACTTTTCACAGCCCTGTTCATTCAGAACACTGTTAATTCTGCAGTTGACTCTGCAAAGTCGGCAGAAATCGTTTATATCAGCAGAAGACGCCGGATCTTCGATTACACCAACACTCAGTAGTTTTAGTGTAAAGGTCCTTACACACCGGGAACGACACAAATCACATAATTATGAAAAACATATCAAGCGCGATGCAATTTTGCAACTTTCAGGGGGAAAAAATGACGTGGCCCGGGTGGAAGTGAGAAGACTGACACAACAGTAGACTGAGTGTTTTTCAGTTCTGATTAGACTCTAGTGTTGAGATGTCTGTCTGTCATGATAGCATGTACTGAGTCGGGGCCAGTATCAGGTAAGAACATTAAACTATAATCCATAAACGTAAGGGAACAACCGAGACCTAATGGTGCTGTGACAGCAACGCTGTGATTGAGTTTGAGACAGTGAAAATACATATGGTATGTTGTATCTGAACAGGTTAGCTTACGAGCTAAAGTTACTTAGCACAGATGAAAGTTAAAACAAAGACATTTATCAAACTGTTAAAGCACACAAACCATCGTCATATGAGAAATCCAACGCTATTACCCTCCACAAGTTGTCCTTCAGGTCGTTATCTTTGTAGTATTTGTGTCTTTTATCAAAAATCACTCTGTTCTCCGACACGTAAACAATCAGCCGGTCGGCCATGTTGGATATACCGGTGAATCTGACGTCGCAACAACACGAAATCTGATTGACTTTGGCGTGTTACGGTTGTCCTGTACATGCCTACAGAGCCGTAAAGTGCTGTTTGTCATATGTCACATCAACAAGAGAAAACAGCAAGACTTGAATCTGCCAGGCTCATAAAAACTCCTCACAGGAGCTTTAACCTCAAATAAGAGTCAAATTCATGAAAAGACAACTGTTTTTTACTGATGAGTTTTTAAAGCTGTAAACAAAAGAAATGAACACCAAATGTGTCAAAGGAAGCAAATGCAAGAAGGTTAACAAACAGGTGCCACACTCAAAAAAGGAGTCAAGAGGGAAATGCAGTTCAGATCTCTGTGGATATGGTTCACTTGCAGCTCAGAGACTGGAGAATGATCCAACATGAATCTGACAGGTTTGAAAGAGTTTTCAGATCCCAGTCCGCCCCCTTTAATACTAATATGTGTGTGTATGTGTGAGTGTGTGAGAGATTTGAGTGTTCAGCTGTGGTTGTGCACATGTGCCTTTAAGTATGCAGGAATGTGGACAACAAGTGTGCAGACACAATAAGCAGACAGGGCTGAGAGAGGTCCCAGCGGCCTTTTGTTAGTTTCTAATAAAGCCTGCGATCTGGAATCAGGGGGAGAGGCAGGAGGAAGAGGGAGGAAGGGAGGAGGAGAGCTGAGTGTCAGTTGCTTTAATTGCTTTTCTTGGCGGAGTGGGAGGGGCTGATTGACTTATGCGGTATGAAAAGGACAAACCTGCCACCACTAAAGGTGTG